CAGGTACATCCCAGAGAGCCTTCTTGACTTTCTGCGCAGTCACAAAGGATGTTGTCTCATCCTCCACAAGACGTGTGCTCTGCTTTTTAAAATGTTCCTTATGTCGATTCTGACAAACCACCTTTGATATCTCACTGATGGATTTTTGCTTTTTTGAGGCTCATCATTATCTCCTTCACTTGCAAGGTCACCTCTTCACTCCTTATATTGACAGACAACTCCACCTCAATCAAAATGTCAACTCTCAACTTTCAGTAAACTCTGATCTTTTTTGTGCATGAACCAATGTTGAACCGACACAAAGCTGCCCAAGAATTAATCAGTAGCCAAGAGTGCAATTAGTTTTGAAGCCCTGCAATTTGGGCACTTTGTGCTATATTTCGAACACAGTTCTGTCTATATTGATGTAAACAAACTAAAATTAAAGTTAGAACTTGGCACTTGAATGTACTATCAATTAATTCATATTAAATGTCATGCGCTCAAGATCAGAACCTGAAAAACCAAAAAAAAGAGTAAATGTTGAAATACTTCTGTACTGTATTGTCCCCAGCGCTTTTATCCAAAGCGACTTACAAACAAAAACAAGTGAGGTTGATAACATAAAAAATATTTGAGACTCTCAAGAGGTCTTGACTATTTGGGTCACAGAAATAGCTGTAGGTGCATATCTGTTCTCCAATCTGCCACCTAAGTTGTATTATATTGAGTGAATTGATTGTAAAGCCAGATGAGTCTATGAGTTGTGCTTATCAATGGACCCCATTAAACACTTGTCACCCCCGAGGGATTTCTTTGACCATGCAAGTCATTGTCAGCAGACAGCACTCTGACTAATCAATGAGTTCTTAATTACATCTGGTGCACGGTCCAGAGGTGCAGTAAAACAATATGTGTGCACTGTCAGTGTCATCCTTTTGTCGAGACAGATTGTACTTTAGTCAGCAACATTGCGGGGACGTATTCACAATAGAATTCGGGACTTAGCTGGAAATGTTAACAGTTGGGGTGTGTGACGGAACAAATGTGACAAGACAAGATAAGAAAGTCATTTGGATTTCTCTCTAAAAAAACAATTAAGCTTCTCTCATCACTTTCATGAATCTCTGCCTTCTGACAAAATACACAACAATATGCCAAGACTGAATGTTGATATATTAAAAAAATCTTCTTCTATTCTATGCTGTGGTTAAAAAATGTACATACTTCTCTTTTACAATGATGTCGTGAGAAAAAACTCTCAATGTTTAAGTCCTGTGCTACCAAATACAGCATTTCCGAGGTCATCAACATACTGCAGGTTACATTTGAGCATCCTGTTGAGAAAAAAGGTTTTCAATGTTTTAGAATGACTCTGTGTCAGAGGACCTGTTGGCTCAGACACCTACTGTATGTAAATCTGCAGGCCATCACTGACTTGATCAGCATAGGGCTGACAACAAAGTGAATTCAGCCTCATCTAAATGTAAATTAGGTTTTATACCTTTGGCAAACAGCTTACATAACTAAGTGCCTATTTTAATAAACCAATTATATTTTACTCTATGCTATGCTAACACAACAAAATAAAAATCTGTACTTTGTGAAAATGTACATGGGATGCAGATGACTGTCAAACACAGGAATGAAAAGGAGGCGGAAAAGGCACAAAACCTCACAGAGTTAAATGTCTGCATTAATGTTAAATGAGAACATCCGCTTGAAATGTGTTCTGGATATTTAGTCTGCTTCAAAAAGAATGAAATAGATTTAGGCTGCAATGAAAGTCTATTTCAAATGCTTTGACAGTTACACATGACTGCACATAAAGGAGCTTAAACACCAGTCTACAACATTCACCCTTTCATTGTTACAACAGACATCAGATTCACTTGTCTACGATAAACACAACACGGCAGGTTCCTGGTTAGGTGAATTTAGAGATTATATATACTTAATTTAAAACACATGTGGGCTGTCGCATATCTTGTTATTCACGATAGTCAACAGGGTAACCTAGGGTAAAGTTATTCAGTTGTGTATCTGGTTGGGTGCTTGGGGGGGTGCTTTCACTAGGCTTTGCAACACCAATAGACTGTAATAGCAACAAGGCGGGGGACACATGGCCGAAGAAGCACTGAGGTGGAGGAGTTACAGACGTCCAAGTTAGACAGGAAAAAAATCATGAAATAACTATTATAAACCAATATAAAGACTCACTTTATATTAAGGCCAAGAAAAACAGTGATGCTTAAATGAAACAGCAGCAGGGCAATAATCTGACATTAGCTGGCAAACATCAATTTATCCCCCATTCTAACTTTAGCAATTCAGTTACTGGAAAGAGATTAATATCAATTCCATAAATCATTCAGGAGATGTATCCGGAGCCAGAGACACTGGTATGTTAGTTGATCTGAGTATGGGAGCTCAGCACACATTAATCAATGTCTGAGATCCTCTGGCCATGTCATCTGGGAAAAAAGGCAAATTTATAAAACGAAAAAGAAAAAAAAGGGGGGGGGGGTATCATCACACTGATATCAGCAAAATCCTCTTTAACATGTTTAGATCTATATGCACTAGCACTATATTTATGCACATGTCACCTTCACATGTCTATTGT